AAATGTCCGAAGTGACGAAAACATTTTCCGAATATTTCATGGCATGTGAAGCCACGAATGTGTTTGCTATCCGGAAAATGAAGACGCTATGTACAAACAAAAATGTTTTACGCATAGACGTATTTTATGCATAGACGTAAACGCATTTTTTACGCATAGACGTATTACAGAGCTTGCAGTGGCGTAGGAAGCTCTTTTTGATTTGGGGGCAGGAAATTTTTAAATTTAGAGTCTCTTAAAAAAGCCATTTCCTGGACTTTGGGGAAGTTTTGACAGAATTCTGACGGTCAGAAAATAGTGTTTTATTTTGTCGAAATTACAATTTGCTTACAATTTGCTTACAATTTAGTAGTACTAAATGGGCGAAGGCGTAAATATTTAATAAACTATCAGATATTGGAGAAATTGCAGGAAAGTATGGGTAATATGATTCTTTGCAGTCTGTCATGGATAATAATGTAGCCGCTTAAAATTAATCAATTATCAGTATTTTAAAGGTTAAATGATAGGTTAATTAAATAAAGGTTAAATACCGATTTACTATTTGTTAAATGTTATCCATGTAAATGCCATGATTTCGTAAATCAGTTTATACTGATACTACAATTATATTATATTTTCTCTGTTTAACAACTAAAATTTTGTTATACTATTATTGATCTAATTTTCCGAATGGCCAACCCGATTTTCCGAATATGTTAATTCTAAAAAAAGGGGGGGAGGGGGTAACCCCCCCCAATACCCCCTCGCTACGGCCCTGTCCAATTTATTAGTTTGTGTATTGCAAAGCCAATATCAGTTCCCAGTGCATCTGACTACACAGTACTAAATAGCATTTATTTTCGAGGAAATTGTTAAAATGTTCACAAGTAACTAATTAATAATAAATTTTATATAGGAAACATAACTTATAGGTGTAATTTAACGTTTCAAAACGGAGAGGTACACTATATTTTTGTATCAAACACAGGCTTGATAGGCTCGATTTGATGTGATTTTTTTTTATTTGATTTGATTTTAACTCATCTCCAAGGTTCTCGAACGTTGTATATTCAATAACACCAAATATCACGTTTACGAGCAGATAAATCCTTGTCAGAACGGTTTTATGCCTGGGAAATCGTGCATCACTCAGCTTATTGAAGTTCTCGAACAGATAGGCCGTGAGTTAGATCGCAGCAAGCAGATTGACGTACTTTATTTGGACATGTCGAAGGCGTTCGATAGAGTAAGTCACGTGGAGTTAATACATCGTCTTCGAGAATTCGGGTTTGGAGGGAGCGTACTCGATTGGTTCAATTCTTATCTGACCAATCGATACCAGCAAACAACCGTTCTCGGAGCAACGTCGAAACCACTCCCGGTAACATCAGGAGTGCCACAGGGGTCCATCCTCGGTCCGTTGTTGTTCTTGCTGTACGAGAATCATCTCTCCAATGCTGTGACTAATTCAAACATTGCTACATTTGCTGATGATACCAAAATCTTCAAGACCATCAATTCCATCTCTGATGCAGCTGCTCTGCAGTGTGACCTGTCAAAATTTGAGAAAGGCTCGACCAACGTGAACCTGGAATTAAATGCAAGCAAATGCAAAGTGTTAAGAGTCACCCGTAAGCACAACAAAATCGTCTACCCGTATACGCTGCATGACACCATTCTAGGAAGCACGGACAGTGAGCGTGATCTTGGGATATTAACTTCATCTAGCCTGACTTGGTCTAAACATGTCGAGTACCAGTGCGCCAAAGCCTCCAAGACCCTAGGATACATTCGTAGATCAACGTTCGACATCAAAGACATCGCAGTTCGCCGCACTCTATACTTGACTCTCGTTCGTACGCAGCTATGCTATGGTTCACAAATCTGGGCACCACAAACCATCAATCTAATCCAACGCACAGAAAGACTTCAACGACGCGCGACTAAGTACGTCCTGGATCTACCCTTCCGTTGTGAACCTACATACAACCAGAGACTTTCACGTTTAGGGCTTATTCCATTGAGCTACTGGCATGAATTTCTGGACATGGTTGTGTTCTACAAACTAATTCGTGGAATCATGAGAATTGACGAACATTTCCTGCCTCAACCAACAAGTGTCAACAGCCAAAGGGAAACAAGATCATCCGATCCTGACCATTTGTCATTCACGACAACACGATGCAAGACAACCACATTCCAAAAGTCCTATTTAAATAGATGTACCAGAATGTGGAATGTACTGCCAAAGAACTTGACAGGCAATAACACCAGCCTTAGTCAGTTAAAAAATGGACTTTTCATGTACTATAAAGTAGCATTACAAACTGTCTACGACGTGGATGATCCAAGAACATGGAAATCAATATGTTTTGTAACAAGTCCCGTAATCTGTCCTGTGAAGTATCGTGTTGTTATTAGACAATAGTTTAATGTTTGTGATGTCGTATCTTATATGTAAGGGCCGCTGTAATTGGCGTAAGCTGTAGCGTGTTCCCTGCCATTGTCCATATATGTTTTTTCTGTGTTTTAATGTTTATTGGCAAAGTTAAATAAATAAATAAATAAATAAATAAATAAATATACCTTCACACAAGTCTCCCTTGAATCCCAAGACACAAGAACATTCAAACTGCCGATCATCACGATCTATACATGTCGCCCCATTTTTGCAAGGGTTAGGATAACACAGAGCTTTTTCTACATTAAATGAGAAATTTGAGGGCATGACTTTTAATTCACATAAAGACAACAGCCGTTAACAGGGCTGCAAATAATTACTTTACTTAGAAGGACAAATGTCTGGCCAAGCCAAAAATTGGTTGGATATTTATCAATTTTACCAGGACAATGGATAAAGTAGAATTCTTCTCTTTTTTTTATTAGCACCACGTATTTTTTTGCCTGGTCATGTTAGTCCTGCAATATATCTAAAACTTAGCAGGTGTACAGCCTAGTCCCAGGCTCTCTCTCTATTCGCTGCTTTGATATATTTAAATAAGTCTTAAACGTTTTATGCCTGGGTGTGCTGTGCGGAACGCTTCAGCGAGAGAGCCTAGCAGATTTCGGTAAAATGGTCCCTGATTTAAAAAAAGTGGTCCCTGGCCTGGTTACCAAGCATACCTCATTTGTAAATGGAAAATATTATGGAAATTTCCTTTGCATTTCTAATTAAGTCATTAGTTTTGCTCTAATGCTGTCGGAACAATGAAGTTGGCTACGTTTCGCTGCCATACGGTCAGAATGAAATAACGGGCTAAATATGACTCGTGTTTACTAAAATATATAGCCATATTAAATGCTATCTAGAAGCTTGAAAATTATGCCGAGTCTCCGACTAAGAATGTTTTGACAACACCGTCATGTCAGGCAAATATTTCCAATCTCCTCAGCAATTTAAACCTGTCAAGTAGAAAGCGTAGTTGTGTATACCAGTATGGTCTAGTGTTGATCACAACTTGCGAGTACATAAATAACATCAACGATTGCTCAAACTCGGTATCGTAAATTTGTATATAAATTTTTTTAGTTGAGCACATTTTTAATACAGTTTGATTTGGTTATGTAGACATCGAACATGTACATGATGAACGAGCATTGCCGTATTTATAATTAAAAGGTTACTTGTATATATAAATTTTCCGCCATATTAAAAATACTGAAATCTGCTAGGCGTTCTGAAGCACCTTGAGCGGTGACGTCACACCTAGGTCCCAGTCTCGTCATGTGCTACATCCACTTTTTTCTCGCGCTTGCTTCAGAACGACTGGGACTAGGCTGGCAGGTGTATATATATATACCAGTCCCAGTGAATCAGTAGATTATGGTTCAGGTTAAGTAGTAATACGGAAAAAGGACCACTTTTTTATTGGGGGGGAATTTTTTCATTTTACTATAAGATAGTATTGTAAAAGAGTCGGGTGATGCTGAAAAAAGAGTCGAAAAAAGTGTTCCCGGACGGGGGGACTTTTTTTGGGTGTGGTCCAGGGCGTGGTCGGGCGCCGTGCGCCGTGCGCTTGCGTGGTGTGCGTTGCGCATGCGCGGCCGAGCTGCGACGCCGAAGCCTTGGTCGACCGTAATGAGCGGGTTTGAAATTGGCGCGCGACTTTATCTCGGCCAAGTGGGAGGAGCTTCTTTTGATCAATTTCCGGCTGTCAATCAAAATGTTAAGATGTTAAATTTACTCACATTTTCCCAGAATGATTGACAGCCGGAAATTTAGACCCGAAATTTAATACTTCCTGTTGTCAATCATTGTGTTAAAATGTTAAATAAAAACAAATAAAAAATAAAACATTTGCAAGCATGGATGAAATTAACTGGTCACAAGAAGCTGCTTTCGAGGCAAAACGACTAAAAGATTTGAGTATTTACGTGAATCAGATGCTTTTTATTATTTCAAGAAAGATTGGGTGGTGAATTATCGTCTTGGAGATATTGGGACGAAATGATTCAACCGCTAGAAAAAAATAAACACGATATATCACATTTTTTGTTTACGGCCGAACGTTTGGGAACAAGCGGAGAAGATGCTATTTTGGATGATTTTATAAACTACTTGTATATTACATACCGGTAATATATGAAAAGTACAAGCAAATTGTGTTTGCGCCTTTGTAGTAGTTTCCACTTATTTTTGAAGTAATTTGAAGTTAGGAAATTTGAAGTTAGGAAATTTGGATGTAAGAAAGGAAAATTTTGTGTGTGTGTTTTCAGATGGTGTTTAGACATGGCCGCGTGCAAACTAAATCACGCATGCAAATCATGTGGCAAATGTAAAGCTAAGCAAGCTAAGCAATTGTTCGAGGGCGAAAGTTGTGCCCTATCTTATAACAGTGATGACGATTGGTTCGAATAAAATAAAATACAATATCGTCTAATTCGTCTAATATATCGTCGTTAACAACTACCCTATGACTATCAATCCAGGATATTTGCACATCATCTTTGTCGTGTGTAAGCAAAAAATCACTAACAAAACCCTCTATATTTTTTTGCATCTTCCTGTGTCCATATAAAGCACCATATACACAAGATGTTTGCATATCATCTATATCTTTAACAATGTCGTACGCGAGCATATCACTAACAAAGTCCTCTATATTTTCTTTCATCTTCCCACGACCGTATGAACCGTTTGCGCGTACGGGCGCGCATACACGTTCTTCTTGCAAAAATATATTTATGGTTACATCGATTACCCCTCTTGGTATCACCCCCGCGCGTAATCGTAACCATAATACTTTAAAATCATAGTCTGCATCTTGTCGGGCGAATTATAACTGCAACGCAAAGTTACAAATGCGTCGATTTTTTTACACAGGGTTCGTGCATGTATTACGGGTTTTCCTTTGTAGCTAGTCATTATTGTAGGGTCAAAACGCATAGTGTCTAAGGAGAAACAATAAATCGGGTGTCACTAACACGCCACAATCTCTCGCAATTTGTTGAAAAAGTTTCACGCAACACGTGTCCCCTAACAACTGCGCCAACAATACTTCGCGGGACAACGAGTCTATAAAATGCTGCTGCGTAGTCGATGTCATTACATCTCGGGGGTTGAAATGCATTGAAAATGGTTCAAGTGCATCTGCAAATTTTATCACACCGTCTTTTGAAACACATATAAAACCTTTATACCGTGTATGAGACAGTTGTTCGAACATAAATACAGACAACCGATGTACGCCATCTTCTGAAAAGCAACCGGGACTATTCAAGCAAATCACGTGCTCGATATTTTGTAAACAGCAACCGTGCAGATGGAAATTCGTTCTATACCCTATTGATAAGGGATCTATAACCCGAATCTCGTAGTCAGATTGAAAAAAGAAAGCGTTAATACTTGCGCTATGCGAAAGAATATAATCTTCCATACCTTTAAAATTCTTCGCTTTCTCCTGGAAACCAATCGGTTACAGTGCTCGAATAATAACTGTGTTGAGGTAGTTCGTGTATTGTACAATTTGTCAACAATGAAACCAACACGTCGCGAATAATTCTCACACCCTCCTGTGTCTCGGTTATAAACAATGTTGTATAAAACACGCATAATATCAATACAACTAGGTTACCCACAGGGCAGTAATGCTGCCTTTGACAGCAAAAGACAAACTACAGGGTGTTGAACGAGTCCTTCAGAAACATCCTATTTTTGTCCTTTCTCTGATAGCCGCTAAGCAGGCTATTGTTATCCTTGTTAACCCATTTGTTGACAGTACGGCCCTACCACTGACTGAGTATTAAAAATCGTCTGGCGTTGGACAGGGTAAATACTAAAGTAATTACTGTGCTGATGGATTAACAAGAGACATTGGCAGATAGGTTTGTTAACCCATTTACTGGCAGTACCCTGTACCCCTGACGAGTAAAATTTTCTGGCGCTGGACAAGGGACTGGCGCATTGCCAGCTAATGGGTTAAACCACCGTGGTTAAACATAAGATTTGATGCTCCAGCAAATGTAAACAAACTATCAGTGTGACATCCCAGTTTATATATTTACTGTATATACTCGGAATATTGATTTCTCGGTAAATACAAAATTATTTTAAAGTATAACAACCAGCGAAGATGTAAGCCACTAACTACCCTGCGCGGCTGCGCGCAGACTATATAATGACATATATATGTTATCCGTCCGGTCCGTCCGTCGCCATCCGTCCATCCGTCCGTCATTCATCCGTCCGTCCGTATCCGCATTTTATCGTAACTCGTTTTTCAAACACAAAAGTGCGGTTCGTCATGATCAACATTTTCAAAAGCGGCCAATTAGACCAGGGGTTAAAGGGCAATGACAATGACATGCAGGTGACATTTAACATTGCGTCTCACTAATTAAAATTTGCGTGTTTATTAGTAATGTTTATCAAAGAAAGCAAAAATATATACAAGACAATCTCACATGTGAAATTTTTTCACTTACGTACTGCCTTGTGATGCAGTACAATTATAAACACCAAATGACAAAGCACTTGTAAATCCTAAAACATAATTAAATCATACGGCACATTCAAGATTTTAATATCGTATTTCAGCCGCGCGTTTATTGCTGGGCGCATTCGCTGCGCTATATTCATTTATATACACAGAAAAGCATGTCATTGTCTTTGCGGACCATAGGCAAAAAGCATTCGTCAACCACATACCAAATTTAAGCAATCGTTAAATCATATACATGTCAGGGAAAGAATATGAAAATAATGTTGAATGAAAGCTAGCATCGCGTATAATGTTAAAAGCACCGCATATAGTGCTCGAACCACTGCGTATAATTGCAAAAGCACCGCGTATATAAATGGTGAAAGCACCGCGTATAATGCTGGAACCACAGCGTATAATGCGGGAACCACCGCGTATAATGGCGAAAGCACCGTGTATAATGCCGAAAGCACCGCCGTATAATGCTAAAAGCACCCAACAAAATGCCATTTGATCACTTTAAGCCAGCTATGGCTTTCCATAAAAGAAGACCAAAGATGAAAGATGATCACATTGCCTGTTTGCCTTATGCTTGACCGCGCTGCACCACGGTTAAAATTCACTGGTACCGTCATGCAATGCGCCAAATAGAAAATTTTGATATCGACCCACAAAACAAAATTAGGATCTGCTGCCTTGCTCGCTCGCTTCAGGCTCGCTCGCTGCGGCAGCAATAATAACGTCACAACGACCCTGACATTGACTCGTACATTCCTCACCTTGACCATGATTCTGAAAACAAACACATAATTACCCATATTTGGTCAATACTACCTTGACCATGATTTTAAAGACAAACACATAATTACCCATATTTGGTCAATACTACCTTGACCATGATTTTAAAGACAAACACATAATTACCCATATTTGGTCAATACTACCTTGTCCATAATTTTGAAAACAAACACATAATTACCCATATTTGGTCATACGCGTCGCATAGGTGTTTAAAACATACCCATATTAGGTAATCGTATCTCAGGGGATGTTAAAAAATGTTACAACCCGATCCACACTTGGATAATTGCGACTCATACTCTCGTTATCAATATTACACCGACGTGTATCATAATCATTCTGCACGCAACAAGTTTACGAGATGGATCAATTTGCACGCTTTGTGGACTATTTGGGTTTTTCTCTAACCGACGAGAATTATTCCGCGTACCAAGATTTATTTCACAGTTTTCAACAATTTTGCAACGTAAATCCAAATATTTCACAGGAATTACAATTTATACGCTGGCAACATCAATACTCGGCTGTTACAAAACCCTCACCGACTGTACCCCTTCTTCGACCTGACCCAATCCACCTTCCCACGAAACTGGCAACATTACCCGGTCAGACTTGCTTTACTACCTTTACGCTGCTAGAACAACCCGCTACAACGCCGCACACCTCACCACGCGCAAACATGGTTGTGAAAAATAAATCCGACACGCCGATGACGGTTGACCAAAACGTGCTTAATACAACCCTCCTTGAAGTCTTAAACGAATCTAGTGAAGAAGATAATCAAATACTCGTAAACTCGGAACCCATACAAGAACAGCATGAAATTACAAACATTATCTTGGGTCTTGATGAATCTCAACCGAACACCACAAAAACAGACGGTTGCGGTTATGGTCTTGGTAAAAATATCACAATGTTACGAGACGAACATGAACAACGACAACACAAAAAAAACAAACGACAACGACGCACAAAAACAGGTGTTCGAGGATCGGGCAGACCCACCAACGATGAAAGCATCATGCGTGTAGCCAACGACGCGTCCGAAGATGTCAAAGCCGAAGCCGCATTGGCGCTAAAGGAATTACGCGCATTGACTTCTACGGGTGCCATACGCAAAAAAATGCCGATATACACCAAACACCCCGACGACATCAAGTGTTTCGCTATAAAACATTATAGCAGCTTTGAATTTATTGCCGACCGGCGAAAAAAATCATTAGAAAAAATCAAAAAACACCGTGACATTCTACAACATTTGAACAATCTAGAAATGAACATGTTACCCTATATCGAACAAAACAATACATTTTAAATTTCACTTTACCCTATATGTTAGTAAATCACTATCTATTAAAAATAAAACTTTGTAAATTATTAAAAAAGATGAATAAAATATTATGATGTAACATAAAACATTGTTATATCGAATTTCGCTTTTAAAAAATACGTCACATTTCCCGTGACGTCACTTCCGTCGCACCCCATAAAGTCGCGCGCCAATTTCAAACCCGCTCATTACGGTCGACCAAGGCTTCGGCGCCGCAGCTCGCCCGCGCATGCCCAACGCACACCACGCAAGCGCACGGCGCCCGACCACGCCCTGGACCACACCCAAAAAAAGTCCCCCCCGTCCGGGAACACTTTTTTCGACTCTTTTTTCAGCATCACCCGACTCTTTTACAATACTATCTTATAGTAAAATGAAAAAATTCCCACACCCCCCAATAAAAAAGTGGTCCTTTTTCCGTATTACTACTGGTTAAACATAACTTAAATTGTTTGTGATGTTACTCTAAGTGTGCATCCACAGTGGGCAAGCTCAGGTACACTCGGGTACCTGAGTACATAACACACACACAAAATAATCATATCATAGAATACACTGATATCGAAGGAACTAGACTCAGTTCCGAAATATCATCAACTCGAACCGACTTGACCACGTAACTCAGTTGGCAGAGCATTGGACTAGTATCCCAAAGGTCGCGGGTTCGATTCCCACCGTGCCCAAGCTAACTTTTCAGCTTGCCCGGTGTGGATGCACACTCAGAGTAACATCACAAACATCATATTAACCTGAGTACATGTACACACAAAATAATAACTTTAATTTCTACCATGTATACGAAGGTGATGTAGATTTATAATTAAATCTTACGGCTTAATGCAGCACGAAATAGTGGAGAAGCGCTGTCTATATTGCTTTCTTGTTGGTTTCATTTATCAAAAAAATGTGTTAAATAAACATCTTTTAAAATTGGAGATTTGACTAGCCTAAAAACTAAAACTTGGCTGGACAATGTCCGATGACCGGCACTAATTTGCAGGCCTGGCCATGAGATGATTAATCGGAAAAAGTAATCGGCCATTTCGAAATTGTAAAAAAATAATCGGCCGTTGCTATACTTACTTTGGCAGCGATCTCCTTTGTATCCCAATTTACACGTGCAATGATATCCATCATCCATTTCTGTGCAAATAGCTTCGTTATTGCATGGGTTAGGAACACACGAGTCTTTTACTGAAGGAGCAAAGATTAAAATATTAAATTGAAATTTAGGAACATGCCATATATAAAAACCTAGAAATCGCGTCATTAATGTAGACTTCGTGTAGTACACAAGCACTCACATCTTGTAACAAGTCTGCCAACAAGCCGTCAATAAGTTGTGTTCGCACTGCTTGTCCCAAGTTGTCAACAAGTTTGGAACAAGCTGTGAACAACATGTAGTAATAAGTTCTTTGTATGTTTGCATGGCGATAAAACATATAATAGTTTTGTTTGTGGAAACACCACATAAATTTTATTACTGCAAAGATTTCGATCCGTAAGCCCGGATCTTCATCAGTGCTAATAATATGTCATATTATTAGCACTGATGAAGATCCGGGCTTACGGATCGAAAGCTATGCAGTAATAAATTTACGTGGTGTTTCCACAAACATGTAGTAACCTTGTTGATATTATCAAAGTTGTTCCAACAAGTCTGATACAGTCATGATTTTACAATATTGTTACAACCTTGTGTGGCCAACCTTGTAACATTTTTGTCATATCATCACTGTATCAGACTTGTTAGAACAACCTTGTAACAAGTCTGATAATGCCATCAAGCTTGTTAATTACAAGTTGTTATCAGCTTGCTCCAAACTTACTAGAACGACTATACAGTGCGTAAAAACGCACAAGTTGTTACAGGTCTGCAAACAAGTTGCTACAAACCTGTTCACAAGCTGTCGACAAGTTGTGTTCGTACTGCTTGTTCCTAGTTGTTGTAACACGTTTGGAACAAGCTTTTAACAACTTGTAAGAAGCTTGATGGCATTAACAGGTTGTTCTAACACGTCTGACACAGTCATGATATAACAGGAATGTTACAAGGTTGACGAAACAAGGTTGTAACAATATTGTTATATCATGACTGTATCGGACTTGTCGGAACAACCTTGCAACAAGTCTGATAATATCAACAAGGTTGTTACAAGTAGTTAGCAGCTTGTTGCAAACTTGTTGAAAAATAGCAATAAGCAGTGCGAACACAACTTGTCGACATCTTGCGAACAGATTTGTAACTACTTGTTTGCAGACCTGTAACAACTTGTGCGTTTTTAATTGTATACGATAAGACAAGCACAAATTTATCCACTCACTATATTGGAACAAAAATCAGTAAAACTGCAAGTCCCAAAATATCAACACTTACATTCACAAGCTTTTCCCTTCGATCCGATTGCACATGTGCACGTGAAATCTCCTTGACCGAGTTCAGTACAAGTCCCAGCATCCTTGCAGGGGTTGTCCAAACAAGCTCGCTTGACTAAACAGAAAAATAATAAATGTATTTATAGATGAAGGTAGAAGACCGCAAGCTTACAATACTCTTAATGACTCTACAAGTATTAGCTAAATGGGGTTTCGTTGGCGCAGGCAACAGAGCAAACGCCTTTCAATTTTTAGTTCGTGGGTTCGATTCTCGCTATGGACTCATGTGAAAAGAGTCAGTCAACGCTCTGCCGAAAGTCGTGGATTTTCTCTGGGCGCTCCGGTTTCCTCCCACAGGGAAATTGACAGGGTGAGTCAGCCTAAAAATGTGGGACGTTTTTTTGCACTGTATGCAATATTTCACAAAACAATGTTAGCTACATGAACTCACATTTTCACATTGGGGCTCGTGATTGTATTTGTAAAAGGCAGAAGACATGAGTTATGAATAAAAACAAACTAGTTCGTGATTACTTTTTAATATTGTGACGTCATCACTAATTAAATTAAAGTATCGGTATATTAGTATTGGTTTCGACTAACATCGTGGTATCGGACTTAGTTTCGTATCGAATTGAAAAAGCCGGTAAGAATGAATGTAATATCGTCATTGACAAACTCATTTTTGTTGACTTCTTTACTACCACAGTTTTGGGATATGATGTCATTAGACGAATTGCAAATGATGTTTGACATGGCTTTTGCTACTAAAATCCATCTAATTGCATCACAGCAAATGACTTTGACAGTGAATAAGTTGTCCAAAATGATTTTCGTACCATATAAAGATGCATTACATTTCTTCTTAAAATGGTCCAACCCTTACACATTCCAAAACTCACATTTGGTGTTAGTAGGACTTCGATAATGAACAAAACATTTTTCGCTTACATTCACAATGTTGGCCAATGAACTGTTCAGGACAGTCGCAATAAAATCCATGTCTGGTTCTGACGCACACGCCGCCATGATAACAAACATGATGTAGACACGCTCCTGGAAAAAAAACGAAATAGACATTTACACTGCCATGGAAATGTACGAGGATAAAGCGAATGGGTTATTTTTCCTTGGATCAATACTTTCATAAAAAGGAGACAAGAATAGGCAATTCAGTAAGGAGTAAAAGAAGTTTGGAGAAAAGTGCAAATAATTATCATAAAAAAATTGCAAAACTTTTTATCAAATTTTGTATGAAATTTTGTCTTAGACTTATTCGAAATTGGTTCTCCTTTATACTCTTCCAAAGTTGTTATGTCTTGATCTTTGCAACTTATTCTTCAGAAAGACAATTTCTGAATGGGTGACCAACAAATACATCCATAGCCATTTTCATATTTTGAGCCGTACATACAGCTATTTCAATTAAGGTTGTCCCCGAGCAAAGCAGAAAAGTCGAATACGAACGCGAAAGCTTGAATTGTTTTAGAAAGCTTGAATTTTTAATTGAATTTTTTTAGCGATTCCAAGCAAGCCTTTCGCGTTCGTATTCGACTTTTCCGCTTTGCTCGAGGACAACCTTAACTGAAATAGCTGTATATACGAACTAATTGAACAACACATAACATTGACTTTGCGAACGACGTGACCAAAAGTCACCTTCAATTTGAAGGCATCTCAATTAAGATGGCACACAATTATGAATAAAGATGCGTGATATGATCCGCTTGGACAAATAAGAGATCGAGTTTACTTGACGCTACATGGGAAGAGTTTGGAACTGATAAAGCTATATCCAGTATCAATAAAGTTAGTATAACCTGTACGAAGGCCAGATTTGGGAAACGTTACAAATGGGCGTGGAATTAAACCGGCAGACGGCATCACAGACGGTAATCCATAAATATATTGTCTTTTTGCATTCCTCTCTGGAACATTCCTTGATTTACTGAATTCCTGCGATTCTCTCTGCGCAGGCTGTTTTACAGTACGTCGTTTTCCATCGGCATCGAGTTTAATAGCTTTCCCCGTTGGTTTCTTAATCGTTTGACCGATATCGTCTTTCCGTTTAAAAGTGTTAAATGTTTTGTCCAAATCTTCGGCCAATCTTGAATCGCTTTTCAACGTATCACTTGTAATCTTCGAAGTCTTGTGTGGTGAATCTATCTTGTGATGTATTCCCGTGGATTTCTCGATGCATATCAAGAGAACAAACCAGACAATAGCGACAAACAATCCATTGGAAATGCACATGTTTCCCCCGGATTACGAAACCAACACTACATGACAGCCCCGATAACAAATTCAAAGATTTTTCTTAAATCGGTTTAACTGTTCTACATTTCTCTACTTGGAATATAGATATTGTCCGTTATCAGGAATTAATGCGATTTTTCCAAAATCAGCGTTGCGTTTAAATTTACCTGCAGCTGTTGCTATCACTATAGTTATTTGTCCATGGATACCCATAGGGTTCCTCGTGGGTCCCTTATTTCCATTCTACGTCTGATCTACGTCCAAAACCATAGAAATATTTCTTGTACACTTGTCAGGTTTTCCTTGGCGGCAGTACACACGAACAAATTTTCCTTGACTAGCTTTGGAACAAGGTTCCTTAATAGGCAAAGGAAAAATTGTAAAAATAAAACCTGTCAAGGAAGAGTTGACCTCTGTACTAGGCCTTGCTGGACGTCTAGGGATACTAGACGAGTGGAGGTTCAAAGAGTGGAGGTTCAATCTGAGCTTCCCTTGAGTGTCAGTGCTGTTTTTGAATAGCTGGAGGGTGAGTTGTCACATAGTAAGGTACGAGACTTACGCCTGTATTCTAAAAGCTCACTCACACTCACACTCAATGAGTGGAGGTTCAATCTGAGCTTCTCTTGAGTGTTATTGCTGTTTTTGAATAGCTAGAGGGTTAGTGTCGTACCTTACTATGTGACTACTCACCCTCCAGCTATTATAAAAACAGCTATGTCACTCAAGAAAAGCTCAGATTGAACCTCCACTCATTGAGTGTAAGTGCGAGTGAGCTTTTATAATACAGGCGTAACTCTCCAGCTATTCAAAAACAGCACTGACACTCAAGGGAAGCTCAGATTGACCCTCCACTCTTTGAATGTGAGTGTGCTTTTAAAATACAGGCGTACGGTATAGAAATGATAAAGCTTTTCCTGTTGAAAGGCTGATATCAGCAGACTACTTTGAGAACAAGCAAACTTGTCAAGGAAAGCTTGTCAATTACAGTTAAATCTAAATGCGTATAAACTTGTCAAATAAAGCAAATTGGTTTGTCAGTTTCAGATGCGACTGACATGAACACATAATTATTTTCATGAAATGTAGTATGTCTCGTTTGAACTGTCAACGATAAGTAGTTTAAACGAGAGATACGAATTATCATAATTGGCGTATTTTGCGCCGTAGTGTATGTCTGAACTACTAAAAATAAAAAGATTAAAAATCCTAATTAATTGTAATTTCTATTCAATTACATAAATAAAAAACATCATATCATCAAAATGTAGAATTAAAATAAAAACTAGGCATTTAGAGTTCAAAAAACAATTCCTAAAATTTAAAATCACAATATGGTTCAGTACGGCTTGTATTTTCTTTTCAAAATAAAAACAATCTACTTTTACGCTTGGCTGAGTAATCTAATACAACGACAACTGGTTGTTGTATATATTATGAGTATACAAGAAAATATTAAAAAATGGACTTAATAATATGAATTTTGAAAGAATAAAGAGCAATTATAAAGAAGAAATGTAATTATTGTAACTTATACAACGCTTGGATTCTACAAATTATTTGGGATGAAAGCGTGGATTGTATTGGTGATAATTTTTGTAGTTTACAGTACCGTTCACGCTTCGAAGGACAGCAAAAAACTTAAATTAAAATCGACTGTGAAGAAACTGGGAAAGCCTCGCAATGCTAAAAGGATACATGAGAATGTTTTGGGGGATAGTAGCTCGAGAATTGCACAAAAGGATGCTTCCAAATCGATTAAAAAGAAGGATTCTAATGGTTACAACAGCAAGAAAGATAGTATAAGGTTAATAAAAGGTAAACAGGGAAGCTTAAATAATAAGTTTATGAAGTTGAAGCTGAAGTCAAAATTGGCGACAAAAAAGAGCAGCCTTTCTTCAGGGAAGAGACAAAATGTCTTCACAGAGGACCCAAGCCAGCAAAGACTCTTTCACATCGACGAAACGGGGACATTACATCGACATGAAGTTGGACCTGAGGAATATACTACACCAGAAGGAAAGACTGAGACGTTTAGTAATGATAGATTATTAACGGGGGGAAATGTTGTGAATCTTCGACCATCGCAAGCTGCAGTAATGGACGCCTCCACAAGGCAAATGACCACCCCAGCCCTCTCATCACCTAAGGAGATAAGTTCAAGCAATTTACCAGAAATCCAGCAAGGCTCCCCCGTCGCATTTGCTGTCCCGCCTCCAATGCCCCCAAGTCCTCCTAGGCGATACTATCTCATGACCTATCACAGACCCTCAGATCCCACCTCGCGTGATCAGGTAATGTACTGGCAGACATTTTTGAAAGAGCATATTGTAGTAGGTTAAAGACCAGATCAAAAGAGGGTGAGAGCGCATGAGAGTTGGCAGTCACGTGATCTTGGTTAGCTGTTCTTAATGCTTTCCCAATACTATCATGTATTTTATTTAAGTTATAACATAGTTGGAACACTCGTCAAACCTTTATTGTGTTAATCTGGAGCTTCAACTGTCCCCCGTGATAATACGTAACTCCCACCTCTCATCAACTCGCATCCTTGAAACATTTTGTGAAAAACTTCGAGACGCACGAATACCATTTAAACACAAACACATAAACAGTCTTCTTAAAGACAAAGAAGCTGATCTGACTGTCAGTGTTACTACAGGAAGAAACCTTAACTAAACCGACTTTACTCATACTGGATAGCTCTATCCGTTCTAAAATGGTCTCCCTAAAGGTCCAATAATGGCCAACAACAAGGTCCATTACAAACAATCTTTCCCAACTTTTTCCCACTTGTGCAATAAATATATTAATGATTCTGTACCTATCTAGGCACCAAGTAACGTTCCCAGTCGGTTGCCAAGGTTACAACGCGTGTTCATTCATCGATCACCTTTCCCCGGTCCATTTCCAAGCTTCGGTAACAACCCAGTACCCTACAGTATACCTTATCCACCAAATATTCCCCATAATCCTGTAGCATTCCCATTTCCCATACCGAATCCCCCTAGGATCCAGAAAGTTCCCTATCCTGTCCCAGTTCCCATGCAAGCTCCTCCTCAAATACAAATTCAAAAGGTAGGACGAACTACAAGTTGAATATAATCCTAAATAAAAAAAGGTCTTGACAAAATTCCAAATCTTCCCATGCTATCAAGGAGATTGAATGCTACTTTTCCTTGGGTATGCGGATTGAATAACCAACACTAAAAGTATCTTTTTCAAACATGAGATTTTGCAATCACGCGTCTTTGGCTAGCTCTTCTTTATGCTTTCCCAGCAGTATTATGTATTTTATTTTATTTAAAATAGAACACTTATTAAACCTTTATTTTGTTAATCTGGAGCTTGAAATGTCGCCTGTAACAAATTCCTCACTACCAACTACCACTCTCGTTTGACCGGGCTTTTATTTACAAAAATGTTGAATGTTAAAGGTGCCAGTCCCCGTTCCACAGCCAATTCCTGTACCAGAAGTGCACAAGATACCAGTTCCTGTACCAGTACCAGTACAGACACCACCACAGATCCGTATCCAGAAAGTACCAGTCCCAATTCCCCAACCGATCCCGATACCGCAACCAATACCTTATCCTCGTATGCCTATGAGAGGATTTATGGGACCACGTCCAATTATTCCTGGTACGAATTGACTAAATACGATTCCATAAAATAATGTACCATAGCCACCTAGACATACCATATAATGTTATATCACATCATACCATACCATACCATACCACGATCTCTCTCTCTCACAAGTCCCAGAAGAAGTCAGTAAATTTCAGCAGATGTGAAACCACCGTTACCCCATATCATACGATACCATATACAAAGCCATACCATACCATACACCATACCACACCAAATCATACCATACCATATACCATAGTCCACACAATATCATATTAGGGATACACTAAAAAGGATCTCTCTCGATGTTTAGTTCCAGTAGGTCTGAGTGAATGTGAAACGAATCCATGCAGAAACGGAGGCACGTGTTACTCAGTGGATGACATCCAGTCTTACAGATGTCACTGTGCTTCTGGCTTCAAAGGAATACACTGTGAAGGTAAAGTTTACATGGCGCTGAACACAAAGGAAAGGGAGAGGGGGGAGGAGAAAGGGTACAGCGCTTCAACGCAACTCTGAGAGAGCACATGAATAAAGACATCATTAAATCCAATCTTAGAGATGTTACTGTGCTTGTACTGTACTTGCTGTCACTGTACTAAGAGAAGGGGGAGAAAGGGCGGCAATACAGCGCTTCAACGCACCCCTGGGAGCACACATACATAAAGATTTCATGAAATCCAGCCTTACAGATTTGACTGTGCGTCGGGCTTCTAAAGAAGATACTATGAAAGTAAAGTTTACATAGTACTGAACACTAATGGAAGGGGGAGAGAAGGGATGGTACATGCACATCGACATCATGAAACCTACCCTTAAGTCCGGTTTCATATTCAAAGTTTCTGTGATCACAGTAGGAATTTTGCATAGGTAAATTCTAAGTTTTGAAGGATTTGTAAGAAATGTTTGAGAAAACTGACTCAGCGTTTAATAGTGACTCATCTTGCTCAAACATTTCATACAAATCATTCAAAACTTAACTATGCAAAATTCCTACTGTGTTCACAGAAACTTTGATAGTGGGCTTTACACACGTAAATATGCTTCAGGGATCACAAAAAATACATTGTGAAGGTTGAACTTCAATCGCATTTTAATCTATAACATTCTGCGTGATATAGATACAAGTAAATGTCATCCGAACCCATGTGAAAACTTCGGAGAATGTACAGTACTTCAGAGTGGATATGAATGCAGTTGCAAGAGAGGATTTCGAGGAACAAGATGCGAGGGTAAGGCATTTCAGAAATTTATTTCAAAAAAATGGGAGATCCTGTGCCTAGTTTTAGTAACAAATCTCGACCATATTTGCTCAACCTATTTCCCATACATGTTCAACTTATTTATTATTTTGCAGAGACTTTGATAATTCATTTTCACAAATGCTTAATTTTTCAGTTCGAGACCAATGTCACCCCAGCCCATGTAGAAACGGGGCAAGCTGTACGTCAGTTGGAAATAAATATGCCTGTAGCTGTATCTATGGTTTTATTGGGAGAAACTGTGAAGGTATGTGAATCTGGTGATCAAACTGGTGAATCCGGTGATTAAACCAGCAATTTCGTGAAGATGGTTTAAGTTTGTTTAAGTAAATGAACATGGCTGTAGTTGTATCTTTGGTTATACCGGGGGAAAACTGTGATGGTAGGAAATAATTATTTTAAAGTTCGAACACTTGTTTCGAGACAGACCCATTTAACAATATGAAATAGGTCGAAGACCATTTAAGTTTATAAGTTGACGGTATTATAATATCAGTTGATGGTGAATCGGGTGATCAAACTGGTGAATCAGGTGATCAAACTGATAATTGTGATGGTGAATATGATGACTGCAACATTAATTTGTACAAAGTTTCTTTCGAAGAGATTTATCTTAACCTCAAATCATTCTACTCTATGTGTGATGATATATATGGTCGATCCCATCTCATTCGCATATATAAATAGTGCTTCCAGTTTCAATGTACCAAATAACCCTAGGCTGAAGCTTTAGGGAAAACGGTTCAGTACTGACACAGCTAATTTGCTTTAGTTCTAAGTATCCAAAACTTACTGCACATACAATTCAAGCTAATCTGGTTAATAACACAATATTCTAACCTATTTTTCTTTTCCATGTAGTGGAATCGAAATGTTTTCCTCTGAATCCTTGCAAGCATGGAGGAGTTTGCCATGAGGATGACAGAAGTTATAAATGTACTTGTACTGCAGGATGGGCCGGCATCAGTTGTGAAAGTAAGGGAAAATATTTTTTACCATTTTGTTATTCATAAATACATTCGAAAATACATTCGGTTAAACAATATGTTAGAAGCAAATTTGAAACTCATATTATAGAATTGAATACTAACAAAAGTTTAATGGACAACTTGCATGTCAGACTAAATTCCAATCTAAGTAAAGAGAAGGGAATCAAACACCACAGCTACAAATTGAAAAATTTGGTTGCGAAGTGTTGTAAAGCTTGCAAAATATAGTCTTGCACATATAGTCACAAAATATGCAAACTTCGCAAGGCTATATTTTCCGTATTTTACAACATTTCGTAACCAAATTTTGCAATTTTAACAAGTTCTTTACAGGAATTTACTTTCTTTGCCCAGATCAAAAATTAGTCTAACATGCATGTAAGTTGTCCATTACTAATTCTAACAATATACTAACAATATTAATAGTAACAAAATAACCCATCTCTCTAGTTCCAGACCCCTGTTCTCGCAAGCCGTGTTACCACGGCGGAGTTTGCCGAGGCATGGGAACGAGTTTTATATGCTCTTGTCGAATGGGATACCTCGGAAAACGATGTCAGAGTATGTTTAATATTAACTAATATAAATACTAATATCAATAATAATACCACTATATGGACATTTACTGATGGTATGTAGAATTAATAAAAACCACATATTGATAATATACCAACAGATTCACTAATATCATACTAATACAAATATTATATTATGCTAATACGAATATTCATACAAATAACATATTCATACCAATAACCATATTCAAATCGATAATAATACTAATGCGGATAACCAAGAGTTACTAAAAGTAACTTATGTGGTGCGGTAAAAGATATTTTAAGCTTCTATGTGTGGAAATTTTTCCTTTTCAATTTCCACCTTATGTAAATTATAGTAAAAATGACGACACCAATATTTTAACCGTCATTTGTGGCATTCTTTGTTCATTTTTGGGCACTTTTTGTTTTAAATAAAAGTATCTCCTTACAGTTGAATCTCAGTGTCACACAAGTAACCCATGTCGCAATGGAGGCACGTGTTGGGAACGTGATTTGAATGGTTACAGATGTTACTGTAATCGTAGGTGGACTGGGGAGCATTGTGAGAGTAAGTGAAGTCAATTAATACCACGGTCTGCTCGTTTGTGGTTGTGTTTGTTTGTTTGTGATTGTGTTTGTTTGTTTGTGATTGTGTTTGTTTGTTTGTTTGTGTTTGTTTGTGTTTGTTTGTTTGTTTGTTTGTTTGTGTTTGTTTGTGTTTGTTTGTGTTTGTTTGTGTTTGTTTGTGTTTGTTTGTGTTTGTTTGTTTGTGTTTGTTTGTTTGTGTTTGTTTGTTTGTTTGTTTGTGTTTGTTTGTTTGTTTGTGTTTGTTTGTTTGTTTGTTTGTGTTTGTTTGTTTGTTTGTTTGTTTGTTTGTGTTTGTGTTTGTTTGTGTTTGTTTGTTTGTTTGTTTGTGTTTGTTTGTTTGTTTGTTTGTTTGTTTGTTTGTTTGTTTGTTTGTTTGTTTGTTTGTTTGTTTGTTTGTTTGTTTGTTTGTTTGTTTGTTTGTTTGTTTGTTTGTTTGTTTGTACAGTGAACATGATCTGGATGGATATAAATGTTACTGCTGCAGATGATGTAATTGAGAAATTTTTTATCAAGTGTCAAATAAACTGAAAGTCTTGCTTTCGTTTATCTTTCCTTACAGTTCCATCGCACACATCCTATTATTGAATGTGATGTTAAAGTTGGTGGGTCAATTAGAAGAAGAAACAATGCGATCAGTCGAAATAGTCAAAAGTTCTACAAATCTTGGGGGTTTAATTGTGGAAATCAGAACTTATTAGCAGAAACAAGCATAGTTATACGTCGCTATTGAAACATCCTTTTAGTAGTACATCTCATAGTTTACTTTGTATATTCTAAACATGAACCGTGTAAATTTGATGTATCACCTTTCTTATTAATTTTTGTATTGGAAGATGGTGTAATTAAAGTTCTTACTAAAAAGTAGTATATACAAGCTTTGGAAACGGTTCTGAACTGTTCTATTTATGATCTGGTAAAATCTACAGTATAGTACAAGAATAACATTTTGGAATCAGAATTAGCCGACAAATAAACACTTAAGGACAAATATACAAAGACAATTTACACTCAGACGTTTACAAATATTAAGATTATACTACAACATCCTACTGATTTACAAAATTGCCGTGCGTGAGCCCGTATCATATGGAAAATAGGTTGTCAATTTCGCTTCTGAAATGACTGGGAGAGCATATTGCTCGAACATCTTGAGGCAACTCATTCCACAACACCGCCCCGTTGTAAGCAAAACTTCGTTCACGATAGTTCGTTCGCGGTTCACACAAATAAGTGATATCACAGTTTCGCAAATTGTATCCTGTGCTGCGGAATTCGAACAATTCACGGTTCATTAATTGTTTTAAACATCAATATAGCTTTATGCTTTTTCCGGCGTGTTGAAAGACCATCCCAACCCAGCTTATTAAAAAGGTCGCTGGAACTAGCACGAGATTTAGTGATGATCATCGCTGCCCTATTTTGCAATTTTTGCAACTTATCATGATTTAACGTAACATTTAAACAATTCCAAACTGAGCTACCTACCTAACTGGACCCCAGTAGCAGAGATGAAAAGCACCACCTCTCTTTAAGGCTCGTTTTACACTTGCAATTTTTGCTGCGATTATAGGTGCGATTTTCTTCTTCTGACGCATGTGAACGAGTGCATAGGTTATGAATGTTCAGAAGAGATCATTGAACTATAAATAAACTGGAAGGCTAACTGCTATGATGAAGGCCTATGATTTGATGAAGCCAAAATAGTTTTTCTGAGTTATGAGCAGAAATACTTGACCCCAAACGTCGTGCTATATATCAAATTGAAGCTATTGAAAATTGCTATTTGGTGTGGAAATTCCACGACTTCAGCGAAAAGAAAAATATTTTAAAAATACAAAAACAACTGCAAAACGGCAAATTATCGGTAATTATGTTTGTAATTTTTTGATATTTCCCTTTTAGCTAAAGTCTTGAAATTTCTACACCAAATAGCGTTTTTCAATAGCTTCAATTTGATATATAGCCCAACGTTCAGTGTTGAGTATTTCTGCTCATAACTCAGAAAAACTAAAATGCACTGGCTTCAATTCCCCCCCCTGAGTTAGCCTTCCAGTTTATTTATAGTTCAATGGAAGAGATGTATACACTCAAAACCTTCATAACTCATCTACTCGTTTAGATACATCAGAATAAGAACATCTCAGAAGAAAGTGTAAACGGGCCTTTATAGACTGCATGCTACATACATTGTTCTGATAAGCTAGAAAAGCCAACTACATCGCCGATCCCATGAGATTAAAACTCCCATAATCTTAATGGCCCGGTCAAATGAGGACGAGAATTGATTAAAGTTGGCAAGCGAGAGTTTGCATGAGGGTTTTCTCAACGAGAACAAGACTTGCATGGGAATTGATGAGAGTGGACTGGATATTACCGACCAAACCAGCAAAAATTTTCATCAACTCTTATCAAAATTTGAACCGGCTCAAAGCTCAAAGTTGATGGTAGTTGATGAAAGTACATGAGAATCGATGAGAATTAACGGTGAAACGTGACCAACAGTTGCAAAACGCTCATCAACGCCATGTATACGGCTATCACAACCAATAATTTTATAGATCATTAATATATAATCATATATACTTGTAAATATACTGTCAGTAGTATTCAAGAGTCATATACAACTTCACACGAACTAATTTAGCCAAAATACTAGGATTCACAAAGCGTTCAAAAATCAAACAGCAAAACCATCTCAACCGTTTAAATTTCAGTCAAGTTTACCGGTACCAAAGCGTCTGTGCTGTAAAGCGTCAAATCTTGCGACCGCTATACTAAATATCTGATTGAGAACTGCTTAAAAAATTACCAATTATATACGTTTTTATCAGCGGTTTCTGAAAGTATAATTCAAATTATTCATCCAATTGAAAAAGAGGAGAGTTCGGCGTGAAATATGTGAGAAGGCCGAGATTGGACTTCAATATGCCACGCAAATTTGTGGGAATACGTTTCGAAAACTTTACTGTAATCAAACAAGCTGGTTGCTGTATTTAGCATTGTATTCGAAGGAAGGAAAAGAATATTTGAATATTTCTCAAAGATGGGGAAGATTTTTTTGTTGTTTGTCTTAGTTGTAATTTGTGTCCATTTTGAAATCAACGGTGTTTATGGAAAATCGAGCAAGCTTGTAAATAAACATGAAAGTGAAATTGGGAGCAAGTCGAAGAAAAATGTGAATATGAATAGTGGCCCAAAGACAAGTGACACTAGCACACAGGTGAAGAATAGTATCAACGTTAATGAGAATAAAAACCGAGGGTTAGAAAATTTAGATGAAAATGCAAACGATGGAAAGCGGATAAGTCCAACGATTATGCAAGAAGATACAATTACCACCGAAGATTACTTGAAGACTTTAACTTCTACAGAGCCGATAAAAGTTTCAAAACACAGCGAGTCGAATTCAAGGCAGTCAGATTCAACTGCGGCGGAAAATGTCAAAGTAAAAAGTGAAATTAACAAAAATGATAACGAAAGGAATGATATTTCAACACAAACGGAAAAGGTGGAAGACGAAAAGATCGAACAGAAAAAATCCAAAATCGAAACTCCTAAGGAAACGAAGGAAAATTTGAGTACTCGTAAAAGCGAAGATAAAACATCGAAATCCAAAGTCGAAAAAACCACGAATTCTTCGAAACGTGAAACTACACGTCCAGGAAACAGCAAAAAGAAAGATTCCCAGAATAATAACGCGGACAAAATAGACAAGGATCTCACAAAAACTAAAAACACAATAGAGCATGCAAAACATAAAATTGACAAGCCTCACAATTCTGAGTCGAAAGGCCAAACGAAAGCGTCTGTTAGTCATCCACATTCAAAAACCAAATCCCAACCGTTAAAAACTGAACGAGCAAGCCTTATCAAAACTGAAAATAAAACACTGGATAACGGGAAAACGAAAAAGAAAGCTAAGAAACTTTTAGTTTCGTTTTTCCATAGCGAATTGGATGACGAGGAACATGCGCACGAAAAGAAAACGCACGTTGGAAAAGAAAACAAACACGGTAAACAGAGCTCGCAAGTTGAATTGCCAAATAGCGGCACGCAACTTGCTAAAGAAGAGCACGAAAAGAAAACGCAGATTCTAAAAGAAAACGAAAACGGTAAACAGAGCTCGCAAGTTGAGTTATCGAAAAGCGGCACGCAACACGCTAAAGGAGAACACGAAAAGAAAACGCACGTTATGATGGAAAACGAACATGGTGAAAAGAGCACGCAGGTTAATATACCACATATCGGCGCGCAACACGCAGAAGGAAAGCACGAAAAGAAAACGCACGTTATGGTGGAAAACGAACACGATGAACAGAGCACGCAGGATACACCACGAACCCACACAAAAGACGAAAAATCGACGCTCGCGGAATTTTCGGATACGTTGTATAAGCGAACAGGATTACAAACACAACCCCAGGTGACAAATCAAAATAATAAAGTCATCGAAGTTGCTTTACCGTCCGGACCACATGCGGAAGACCCACAACATATAAGACTTAGCAATGCGCCGACACATGTACTATATAAACCTGTACATAAATATTACCCTGCTATACATCGCTATATGACCAAACCTATTCATCGCTATTTAAAGAAACCGGTAGATCTGAGCAGCCTCAACCCCCCGCTACGGAGGCAAGAATTTACTTCTACCCCTCAAGTGAAAGAGTTCGCCAACACCCCTGTGATTCAGCACAATATTGGAATCCCCAAAGTTGTTGCTAACAACCTTGCCTCTGTTGCCGGGAGGTTAGGAGACAAAGGGTCAGGACTCCAAGTGAAACAGTACGCCTCCCCTCCTGGACGGGATGTTCAAGCCGGTATTGGACAGTCGATTCCAGGGAGATTGGTCAACGATCAAACACCAACACTTCAAGCTAAGCACTACGGTACAAGTCCAAGGATTGTGCCAGGGGGGTTTGCCCATGATCGTCATATACTCCCGGGGGGTGCAGCACATGTAGGACCAGTTAGGATATTTACTCAACTGCCGCCAAGAATTCAACCAGTCTTGATGCATCCACACAGATTGTCGCCAACAGGTTAGTGGCAGAAAATGGTAAGATACTTAAACCACTAAAATTCTCCCTTTTTCCCACCCATTTAAAAATAGTGTGGAGGGGACTTTACCTTTTCGAGAATAAAAAGATTTCCTGGGATTACAGTCGAATCACATTTTCTTATTTCCGTAGGGTAACCTCTTCAGTGATGCATCACTGGTATCAACGAGGGTCCTTTCTCGTTCACCTATCTTTCACTTAATATAAATATGGACATGACAATGTTTCAATGGCTGGGAAACAATGTTTCCTGGTTCGTCCACCTTTGGGAAACATGGCTAGAAAACAAATTTGTTTCCCAAATTTGCGATTCGAATCATTGTCTCGTTTACTTATCTTTCACTTAATAAATATAAACATGACACTGCAGCTTCAATAAGTTTAGGACAAATTATTCCTGGTTTGCCCACCTTTGGGAACATGATGAGGAAACAATGTTCCCTGGTTTGTCCACCTTTGGGAAACATGGTTAGGAAACAATGTATTCTGGTTTACCCTGAGCCTAAAAAGATGCTTGTAGATTCCCAAGATCAGAATATATACTCAAACGGGACATTGTTAGGAAACAGAACAAAAATCGTTTTGTACAATGAAGCAATACTTCAATGATAGTTGCATTCAATCGCTCAAACAGCTAGTATGCGCATCAAAGAGGATATGAAGAAACGAGAAGTGGAAAGTACTTAAAAGGTCTTAAAAGTAAAAGACAAAACAGGAAATAAATTCCTTTTCTCCTGCAGGTTTTGGCCCCTGTAGTACGAATCCTTGCAAGAACGGCGCGATGTGCAGCACTGTCAATGACCAAGCAATGTGCGTCTGTAAACCTGGCTTCAGAGGAAAATTTTGTGAATGTAAGTATACGGAATATTTTTCAATTGGTGTGCTTGAGAGGGTGTGCATAAGCTTTCTCAATGTTTTTCTCATTACGTATATTTTTGTCTACATTTATGCAAAAAAACGGTCGGTTCATTGTCACGTGTGCATTGTATTTTCGCTCGTCCAATCAAAAGCAGTGTGTTGGTTTGATTACCCAGATATTACACAATGTAAATGAAAACATAGCTATTGGTTGCTCTGGTGAAAATACAATACACACGTGACGATGAAACGACCATTTCTTGCAAGAACTAAGACAAAAATATAGACAATGAGGTATATTATGCCTGCATCGAGTTTCATAAACTTATTCTATTGACCAGGGGCGTAGGAAGCTTCTAAAAGTTGGGGGGGGGGCAGGCTCTGAGGGGCACTTTTCGGAAAAAAAGGACATCTAAAAATTTTTTCCCGGAAATGTTGGCGACGGGGGGGGGGGAGGAGGTCATCTTAAAAAAAAATTTCGGACATACCAAAAAAAATTTTCCGGATATACCACATTTTTTCCTAAATACGAAAAAAATTTTCCGAAATTAAAAAATTTTTCCGGAAATAACATAGATTCAAGTCTTTCCCCTTTCGAAAGGCGCAAAAAGTGCAATCTCAAGGAAAATTTTTCACGCAAAAAAAGGGCACTTTGCTCCCGGAAAAAGGGCACTTGGCAAAACTTGGGGGGGCCTGCCCCCCTGGCTCCTACGCCCCTGCTATTGACTATGTGATGATCAAAGGATGCCATCCCAACCCCTGCCACAACTATACACGACTCTGTAACTAAGCTGTATTCAAGTAAAAATATTATATCAAAGCAATGAACACACCAACTGAATAACGTATTCACAGTTGCATCTCACTTCTTCTCAAACTACTTCAGTGGCCAACAGATGCCATCCAAATCCCTGCCACAACTACGGGGCGTGTACTGAAGTTGAACGAGATTTTGAATGCAGCTGTAAGAAAGGACACCGAGGAAAGAGATGTGAACGTAAGAGAAATCTTTTAATTTGTTATAAAGATGTAGAGATTTCCGATCCTCGCGGCAAAGGTATTTTTCACATGTAACATCTGTCGTTTCAGCGTTTTGATTGGCTAGTGCTTTCGCGCTCATAACATGACGCCAGGTTTCACTGAACGTAGACCAACTCTGGGGCATTGACTCGCCTAAACTCGCTGCGGTTTAAGGCGAGTTTAGGCGGTTTATGGCGAGTTAAGCATGACTTATATCTAAGCATGAATTCTATTTAAACTATTATAAAGCAATTAGACCATTATTCTTTCAAAAGCCATTAAAGCGTCAGGCGAATGATATAGAAAACCGTTCGTTGTGTTTCTTGTATTGTTCGAAACGTCGCAATTGCGTGCTCATATTCAACAACAACAGTTTTGTCATAATTTCTTACTTTGTTTTCAGTTGAGAACAAATGTGAACCTAACCCATGTTTGAACGGTGCTACATGTTCAGAAAGTGAAGATGACTATGTTTGTACCTGTCGTGAGGGTTTCCTGGGTCACAGCTGTGAAGGTATGGAAATCTTGTTCTTTAATTTCTGTAACTATCTAGAAGATCAAACAAAGAGAATGATATCAGCGTTAACTTCATCCCTATATTCATCTCAAACCCAGCAATGTGCTTTTCGTCTCTGGGAATTCAATGTCTTAATTAGAAGATGAACAGATAACCTTATTATTCATTTGAATAGTAAGGTTATCTGTTCATCTAACTAACAATTTAGCAATCATTTTTATCTGTCTTGCAATGAATACGTCACGTATGCAAGCATAGAATAGATCAAAGATAACTTATCATTAGATTTAATGTACGTGCAGTGAATAACTCAAACATAACTCTAATGCATAGTATCTGTGTTGTTTTATATGCTTTCATTAACTGGAATAAAATTAAAATATTAACTAGAAATGCGAGTTATCCAAAATTGTAATCAATGTTTCCACTGCACTTTGGTGAAGATGAAATTCAGAGATATTTCCAGGTCTTTCGAGGACGTTTATTTCTTGAGGTTACGGCTTAGGCCCTATTTCTTTTATACTTTTAGATAATAATAAAAGGGATAAAAACCAACACAAAACTATAGGAAACACTTTTTATTCATATTCTCTTCACAGCTGAATCAAAATGCAACCCCATCAATCCTTGCAAGAACGGTGCAACGTGTCGGGAAGCGCGCGACACATACAAATGTTTCTGTCGAGATGGATTTGGAGGGTATAACTGTGAAGGTAATGGATATTGATGTATACGAGATCACCCCTATGACCTTAAATTTACAGCTCAAATATTAATAGGTTATAGTAGCAATAAATCTTAAGAAATAGTAGTCTAGTTCCACAGAATCATGTACCAAGTCGCTCATTAAAATTTCTAGTACGGAATGAAAGCAAAAATAATTGCTAATTTGAACAGATATATCTGGGATTACGAATCGAAAGATTTACAAATGAATAAACGTGTTGTGTTCCAAACAACAAAATTAAATTTATTGCCATGCAAATGTACCTAGACTTAAAAATACTTATTTTTAGCTCGTATCAGACGTAATATCTGCCTACCCAACCCATGTCAAAATGGAGGATTTTGTACGATCACGGGCACGAGTACTGGGAACTACACTTGCAGTTGTGCTGCTGGCTGGAAAGGGGGGAACTGTGTAGGTATGTCCACTGATCTGAAACAATACTGGATAGTGCAGCCTCAGTATTCCTTTAAGCCATGTTCAATACCCCACGAACATTTGTTAGAAAATGCGGGCTGAGAGTTGCGCGGAAGCGTGCGAGCAGAAGCGAGGCTGGCAAGATAATAGGAGACAACTTTTAGTATTCGTCAGAGAATAGTTTAAAAGTGGAGTAGAATTATATACAACTCAGTCTCATGTAAGATGAGCAGGGTTTTTTCAGGGATTTTTTAGGACCGTAAAACGGGCCCAAAAACTCAATCTTGAATTGAGTTTTGAAACTCAATCTTCTCACCAAAAGATTCTGTGCAGTAAAAAACTTTGAGTTAAATTCATGACGTGTGCAAATTAGTTTTCAGTTGAAAACCCGAAAATTAAGTAAACAATGGCTGGAATTCATTTCACAACACAAGAAAAATAATGCATTGACCGTCTTTAACCAGTTTATAGTGTCCCTCAGTGCCCCTGCTTTAACACATTGCAGCTCAACAACACTAAAGTGGGTACAGGTTTCAGCCTGGGACAGTCGCCTCAAGACCCCCAGCTGTTCAGCTAAACTCAATCTTCTCTGCAAAAACGGACCCAAGAGAAAATCCTGAAAAAAACCCTGACGAGTGCTTCTGCTTTGCACCACAGGACATAACTTGTTTATTCCTGGAGTTAATATTGGATTGCAGCCAAAAATGGATGAACATTACTGGACCTCAAACAGTGAAGAACAGTTAAACTGATAGAGCTATCTAGTATAAATAAAGCTAATTTATTTTAGGTTTCATCCAGAGATAACTGTGGACCAATAAGAGACGACCCTTACTGGATCTCTAGGGGAACAGTTTAGAACTGTTAGAGCTATCCAGTACAAATAAAGTTAGTTTAGTTTAGATTTCCACCAGAGGTAACTATGGACCAATACGAAATTGCCCTTACTGAACCTCTGGGAGAACAGTTTGGAACTGGTAGAGCTATCCAGTATAAATAAAGTTACTTTAGTTAGTCTTCAATAATATCAATGAATAATTTTCAGAGAAAGTTGACAACTGGGGACACAGTGCTGGACCAACGATATGCGCATCAATCAATCCATGTATGTTTGGCGGGAAATGTACGCCAGTTAGTTACTATGACTACACCTGCACATGCCCGAAAGGACGAGGAGGTGCTCACTGCGAACGTAAGTATATCTGGGTGCAAACGAATGGACCCTTTACACAACACTTAGCATAAAGGCCGCTTTACACTAACAAAGTTCCTGTGATCACAGTAGGAATTTTGCATAGGTAAAAGTTTTGAGGGATTTTTAAGAGATTTCTTACACATCCTTCAAAACCTAGAATTTACCTATGCAAAATTCTTACTGTGATCACAGAAACTTCGATAGTGTAAACTATCTTTACGGATTGTATATTCTCAGCAATATGTCATTAACTTATTCTATGTGTATTTATATAAGAAATCAAACATCCGAAATTTGTGAGCAGTTGCAGTCATTGTCATGCATATGCAAGATGTCTTGATGGTCATTGTTCTTGCAAGGAAGGCTATGCGGGAGATGGCAAGAACTGTGAGCCTGGTAAGGATATGTGAGGATATGTAATGACATGTAAGGGTAGGTAATTGTAGGTAAGAATATGTAAGGATACATAGCATTATGTAAGGATATGGTGAGATTTGCAAGATGTCAAATGGTCATTGTTCTTGTAAAGGTTATATAGGAGATGGAAAAAACTGTGAACCTACACAAGAACTTCCAAGTAAGGATATATAAGGGATATATAAGATACTGAAATTCACTTAAATACTTTTTGTTTTTCTTTCCATCAGTTCAACAATTTTGTCATCCTAACCCATGTTACAACGGGGGCACGTGCCGGCAATCAACCAATCAAAAACGATCACTATCTGGCGGAAAACCATGGTGGTGCGAATGTTCAACCGGTTATATGGGACCACACTGTCAAGGTGATACCATCTAATGCTGATAAGAAATTTTAGATTTTATTGTGAATCATCACAACTATCATTATCACCACTGTCCACTGTCTTTATACTCATATTCTCAATCAAATGATCAAATTTAATATCTAGAGATGGACTTATGTTTGATGAGATTGTGTCAAAATGGCGGGACTTGCCTGAGCGTTAAAGGACAAACAAAATGTCTGTGTCCACCGACTTACCGTGGGAAATACTGTCAAGGTTAGTAGCACGCAAGTGAATGTTTGGCAGTAAAAATGTGGTTCGGTCGGTCGGTTGTCAGCCGTCCACCTTGTGATTTTTCTGTTTGTCTTTAGAGAAGAACGTTTGTCATGGAAATCCTTGTAAAAATGGAGGATTATGCAAAGCTGTTGAAGGAGTCGCAAAATGTTCATGTCCAGAAGCATATGACGGAGCACTCTGTCAACGTATGTATATAACATATATATATTTTGAACTGTAACAACATTGGAGCAATACAAAACGAGCATACTAGACCTCAAGCAAGAACGGTTTGGAACTGATGGAGTTAAATCCAATATGAAGGGATCGAATGAGATTCCCCAAATCCTGATATTACACATACACAGTCCATTAGCTTCACCTTCAAACAATCATTAATAATTCATAAGCCTATTGGCAAATCCTGTCAACCATAATATGTCACGTGCAGTGGCTTTAAACCTGATAAAACACTCCTAATTAGCATTCTTTATATATAAGAATACTAATAAGGCAGTATATCTATTGAATTTGTAGTCGTGTTTGAAGCCGTTTAAAAAACTCGCAGGTCGAGTTTTATTAGGTCTAAAGCCACTCGCGCTGCGCGCCCGTAGCTTTAAACCTAATAAAACACTCCTGCTCGTTTATTAAACAGTACTTAGTATATATATACATGAACTTGTGGTTAGAGCTCGACAACTGTCTCTCTGTAGCTCAGTCGGTTACCGAGCGCTGCACCGAATTCACAGGGTCACAGGTTCGATTCCTGTCGAAGGGCCAATGCTCCATCGAAATCTCCACCTACATATCCCTTCAACAATTAGTTATGTCGAGTGAAGTGCCAAAACCCTGATATTTAATTTAGTTTCTCCCAGAGTCGCATTTTCAAAACAACACAAGACATTGGAGGATTTGGTTCTTAAAAATGTTTAAACTTTGAGTTTAGCATGGCAATATCAGTGATTTCATAATGCTCAAAACATTTTTAGACTCGAAATGTTCTAAATGTGATCGGTATGCAAGTTGTGTCAAAGGAGATTGTGTTTGCAACGATGACTATATTGGAGATGGACTGACATGTCGTAAGAAAATTACAAGTACGTTTTTGATATTTCAAACGTGGGGTTCAAGTGCAGGTAGGGGGTCCAGTGCAGCTACATAAGCTGCTGCGGTTTGTATCTGAATGACCTAAACCAGATATCTCACACCTGGGGGTTACAACACAGCTGGCTAAGAAAGTATCCTGAGGAAGGGCTTTTGCTAGAAATATAGAAATGATTGTGTTTTCTTCATAGAGTTCAGATACGTACAAACCAAACAATTCAATTGGGCTTTCTCGCACCATTTGACCAGGCTTTGTCCGCCATCTTTAGGTGGCAAATCGCATGGCATAAATAGACAGCAACGAGCGAAGGATTGAATTTGGTACAGTAGAAACACAGTACTATTGTATATAAGTACTATTCACTTCACTAAATAACTGCTTCACTTGTTGTCATCCTTTATTGATGCGCAGTTTGCCACCCAAAAAAGCAGACAAAGCCAGGTCATGACATGAGAAAGGAAATTTACATAAATAATACTTTTCCTGTATTTGTACACTAACAAAACCAAAGAATTAGTAGCATCCTTGAGTCTATTCTAATTATGTGTTTAGACCAGCGTTTTCACATATTTTTCTAATGCACTTTGACACAATAGGTCCCCCTGAAGTCGTTCCTCCAACTCTAGCCCCTGCTTCTCCCCCACAATCATCACCACCACCACCGCCACCGCCACCACCTCCAGTTCACAAGTTCTGCGACTCTAACCCCTGTGCAAGTGGTGCGACCTGCCTCGAAGCTATGGAAACATATTTCTGTAAATGTCCAGAGAACAAGTTTGGGAAAAATTGTGATCAAACACCAAAAGTGATAGGTATGAATAGGACTTCTGTACTGCTCTTGTTATTTGAAGAGGAAAGAATATTAATGGGAAAATATCCATCATCCAACCATCACCACCATGAATCACCATCATCACCAGTGTGTATCATTATCACTACCATAACAGCACCATAGTCGTCATTCTATTGACCACCATATTCATTACCATTACCACCACCATCATAACAACTACCACCACATCAAAACCACAAACATTCTTCGATTCTAACCCTTGTGTGGTAAGCAGTTTGATGAAATTAAAACAAAAACAATACGTATGAATAGCTAGAGCCATCAATTCGTAAGGTAGAGTATTTACAGTAATTTCAGCAGTATCAGCATGATCTTCTTCATCTAGCAGTATCACCATGATCGTCATTCACATGTTAATAACCATACATTATAAAACAACTATCATCATCAAAAAAAAAATCATAACTATCATCATCATCAATACCATTGATGTCATAATACCATCACCACCATTATCATCATCACCACTACTGTCATTACCAGCACCATAAAAAACCATCACCAAAAGCATGGTAACCTTCCTAGCTCACTTATATGAGTTACAACCAAGTCACTTTCAAATCGTTTCCCTGAGCAGCTCTGCCAGACACAAGCAGACAATAATATACTTGGTTTTAGAATGAAGTTGCTCGATATTTTTCAGCCGACCTTTGTTCAAAATGCGATATTGATGCGACATGTAAGGATGGAAGATGTGTTTGCAATGAAGGTTTTAATGGAAATGGATTTACTTGCAGAAAGTCAACATCGGCAGTCGCAGATATTTCTACAGTCAGCACACCACATAGTAAGAAGTCTTTTTTTGTTATAAACTGAAATTAACTTTATTTATACTCGACAGCTCTATCAGCTTTAAAACTACTTTCCATAGAAGTACAGTAAGGCCTCATTATTAGCCCGAAGGAAATCTGCTGTGTTACAGTGCTTTTTCTCCACCACAAACACTCTTCTCTAATGGGACAACGATAAAATTATAATCATTAAACTTCACGTTGTGGGAATCTAACCCCTGTCACACAGATAGTGCTAAAATATACCGATGTAACGAAGATCGTCTCAGTATCGTTATTGTAACGCCGTTATTTTTTAATTCAGAGACAGATTCGTCATGTGACTTCTGCCCGGAGAATGGTCAGTGTCTGGATAATATTTGTGTGTGCCCGCCAGGTTTTGAAAACGTGAAGCGATCATGTGTAGGTAAGCATGCGCAAAATGCAACTTTGCAGAGTTAAATATAACATCAGTGAGCGTGCTACCCAAATCACATTTTCAGAAATCACATCCCTATTTACCACTGTTCTGATAATGTAAGGATAGAATGAAATAAAGGTAACAAAGAATTAACCACTAACCCCAAATATTTTTTGTACACTAACCGTTAATAATTGGATATTCTAAGAGGAACTTTGATATATCTTTATCATGAAAAACCTCATCTTGATCAACTTGATGTTGGATGAGATTGGAACAAAATTGTTGGTATGGTGTTTACATAATGGCCCTCTGTGAATTTTTATGGGCTTTCTTTGCAGCTATAGACGTTCCAAGAGTGAGCAATACCGTCCTAGCAAAAATTATGCCTCCAGGTAAAACAAGAAAATACTAATCCAAACTTAGAAAGATTGTACCTAACTCTAGTCATGTTAGCTAGTTCCCTGACTAATGGATATTTAATAATTAGCCTATAAATGTATGTGGAGAGGGTCACGAAGGGCAAAATAGAAGCAGGGTTTTGCCTTTTTCTGTCGCTGGGAAAATGTAATTTGGCCTCAGGAAATGAGATATTCCTGAACAATTTGCTGCAGCTGGGAATGCAATTTGGCAAGTCAATTTGTGGGTGAATGCAATTCAGACAAAAAACTGGATTGAATCCCCACCTTTAGGAGCCTCTATATTAACCAAATAGATTAACCATGCATATCAACCATAGACTATACTAAAACATAGATTAACCATAATACTAACCTTACTATAGGTGTTGAGTTGGTTGGTTCAATAAGAAACCGATTGCCTGTTGGCCAATGGAAAGGTTCGTCTCTCAAATCTAAATAAGAATCGAATGTATTCTTTCAAAATGTTCCAAACCTGGCCAATATATATAGAACTATAAATAACTAGACCTAACAACTTCTAATTACAAAATTTATAATAAACTAGAAGGTTCTTGGAGACTTTCACCTTTTCACCTTCGCCAGTGAATTGTATATTATGTATCTTGCATCAAAATTTATTTTTTATTTAACTAATTCATTAATTTTTAGATAAATATTTAAAATCAATATTTTTTCAGAAAACAGTGTGGTAACAGAATATCAGAGTATGGGCTGTTGGGCGGATACAAAAGAGTGGCGCAACGCTATCATGAGAGCCATTCATTCGATGGAAGGACTACATCCCTCGCTCAACGACGACTATAAGAGGCGTAGAAACCCAATCACCAAGTGTGCCAAGGCCGCAAAGGCTTATGGTTATAAGGTATTCGCCTTACAAAATGGCGGCCAGTGTTTCACAGATCCTAACGCTGGCAAGACATATACAACATACGGTCCATCTACGGCGTGTAGATTTGGTGTCGGTGGTGCACTGGCTAACGACGTTTATAGTTTGCCATAAATTTTCTCTGTACAAACGTAAAAATCTCAAGATGTGTTCGCAACAGGCTTGGAGCAAACTTGTCAACAAGATGTAACAATGTTATCGTTCTATCAAGTTTTACAAGGTTGTTACTCACAACTTGTGAACAAGATGTGTTCGCAACAGGCTTGTCAACAAGATGTAACAAAGTTGTCATATATAAAGTTGCTACAAGGTTGTCACTCGCAACTTGTCAACAAGATGTGTTCGCAACAGGCTTGCAGCAAGCTTGTCAACAAGATGTACCAATGCTGTCATTCTACCAAGTTGCTACAAGGTTGTCACTCACAAATTGTTATCAAGTTGTCGAATTGCAGGACGCTAAGCAAACAACCTTGTCACAAAGTTGTCAACAAGCCCATAGTCTATCAAGATCACAGATATCTTATATAGACTAGATAGCGCATCTCTTTTAGTAAAATTAAAGCCAAGAATATTCCAGCGGTTACCCCCATTTGAATAGATGCCGGCCATGTTGGTGAATAATTGAATTGTAAAATAATTAGATGCACTATCTAGTGTATATAAGGCCCGTTTTATACGTCGAATTTTGGTCGTGTCGAATGCAATTAAGACAATAGATAATGAGATGATAAACCTCATTAAGCTTCATTATCTATTGTTTCAATTGCATTCGACGCGACCGAAATTCGACGTATAAAACGGGCCTAAGATATCTATGATCAAGATACGATGCTCTGGAAACTGAACAGAAGTCATTGGGTTAGGTTATTGTCGGAGTTTATGCTAATTTGTGCACGGTCACGGTAATTGAGCTCATTGTATTTTCGTAATCGTCCAATACGTAATCGTCCAATAGGGATAACTGAGATGAATATTTAATGAAGTTGAGACAAAGAATTTGTGCAGGATGAGGTACAGTTCAACATCAAACAAAGGTTTTCTATTTTGTGGCTTTGAAGTCTGCTGGCCGTCCAGACCATGAGCCACGTATAAAAACTAACATTTTGTCAACAAGATGTGTTCGAAATAGGCCTGTACTGGGTTTATTTTAACGTGCAGTTCTACACAAAATGTGCAGTTCTAAACCCATTTGTGCAGTTCTTAAAACACAAATGTGCAGTCACCAAACTAACAAAAATAGCCTTAATTAAAACAGCCTTCTCATTTACTCATTACCCTTGTGGATGCTCCAGAAATTCCAGAAATGCTGTCATTAATTGAGCATCAAAAATATAAACTTTTTGGGGGGAGGACTGCAGACCCTCCTATTTTCCTCACAAATCACTTTAATAAGTGCTGGGGTAATGGAAAAGAAGGTAAAATTGGGGCGAGCGAAGCTCTCCAAAAGAGATTAATTAGAGTGGGAGAACCTAATATTCTTTGCTGCCTCAAATGCAAATTTAAGGTCGTTATATATTGAATATCCATGATTCCCAGTTACATGTTTTGAAACAGTTTTTGTGAGTGGTTGGGTAAAACAAATCTTTCCCAGAACTTAAGAGACTCAAGATTCAAATTGTTCGGGGGAACACCCCCTAGCTCCCCCACCCAAAATCGAGTTTGTCTGGCTTTCTCCAATTCTCCCACACCATTATTCTGTCACCTATATGCGGATAAAAAATCCTTCGAACCCCCCCCCCC